CAGTCATGAGAGATGAGCTGATCATCACAGCCAGGCCAGACAGATAATGTTTCACTTTCTGGCCCCATAAAATGTTTTTACGACAGCTTTTCCCAGATGACTGCTACCTGTTTTTATTTGGCTCTGTGTTTGTATTTATGTGAGTGTGAGTGTGCACAGCTAAAAGCCTTATTGAGTACAAAGTGTGCATGATCGCATGCTGCCATTTGCTTATGTGTGAACTTGTGTGCATGCATGCATGCATGTGTGAATGCACATAAATAGGATGATTATTAAATGTGAAGTGTGTGTGAATGGGATTTCATGGTTTCATTTTCTTTGGCGTTTGTTTGTGTACGTGGTTGTGTGTGTTTCCAGAGTGCCATAGAGCCGTAAACTTGTGCCAGAGAGTTTTGAGTGATAGCCTCGGACGACCACAGCCAGGAGACCAATAACAGTAGGCGGCTCAAGGAGGCTCCTGCCAAGTGACCAATGATTAGATCCAAGTGAAGGAGACCAGAGCTGAATGGCCTGTCATTCCTCAGCTTCATTCCCCCTCAGAGCCCCATTCCCAGCCTCCCCCAGTAACAGAGCAGCATTTCCACTGTGAGTGTTGCAGAAATGCATTGGTTTACTCTCTGGGTGCTTGTAGTGTTTTTTACAGTTGTGTGCAGAGCTCTGCAGGAGGGCAAACTTTTCTGGGTGGAAAATTTAAAAGGCAGGATTATGAAGTTATCCAGATAACCCTTTAATACAAGGCTCTTAAACCCAACAGCACATAAATGAAATCCAGTCTCTTTTCCCAGAACACGTGCTGATGTAAATATATTAGCACTCTTTCCTGGTAGGGACCCACCCTCAGCGGGGAATGTGGTCAAATTGAGGCTGATGCAGAAATTATGCTCAGATGAGAATTAAGGGAATGAATCAATATGCAAGACAGGCACACAAATTAATAATTTTGTTTCTTTTTTTAACAGAGAAAGGATTATCCTCCTTCTGTACCCTCTATTTAATGCATTCAATTACAGACCGTATTCAAGCACGCAAGGTGTACACAGTATACGTTCAGGTAATTAGCCTCAGAGCAAAAGATACAGGTGCTGCTGCCACAAGGCCATGCTCAAGGTTACTGTTGTCCTGTGGCATCTGTTTAATACAAATATGGAGGATACAGAATGTGAGATTTTTTTTTTTTTTTTAAAAAGCACATATTTAAAACGTCATGCCTCACAACTTCACAGTCTCACTCAAGCATTCAAGCCATGCAAAGTCTCCAAAACCTTTCTCTCTGATTTAACATCTCCTCTTCTTTGCAGTTAAACATGATTGATACCCTGAAATCAAATTGGAAGCGATAGGTTATGAATATTCATTAAAAATTTCCAGCAACAAGATGATTTTCGCCTTATGTTCATCAGTTCGCTTTCTGAAGGAGCAAGTACTCCTTCCTGTCAGAGCAAGGACATTTAAACATACAGCCTAGACAGAGTATTTGGACAGTTCTACATGTTTTTGTTCCTCATGCTCCCTCAGTCTGAGCTTTAATTTATAGATTATCTGTAAGAAAATACAAATGGTAGCAGTAACTTGACAGATGCACATGAAGTTGAATGAAATAATTGTATTTAATATTTTGTAGAAAATCCTTTGCAGTCCATTGGTCCCTAGACATCACTGCAGCCATCTTTAGTTTAGTGGCATGTTTTCTAGTCTTTCAGTCTTTAGTCTGATTTTCAGCAAGAGGAACTTTGCTAAATGAAATAAGATCTGTTTAGTTTAGATCAAACATCATATGTGTGCTTCACATGTGATAGCATCTATTTAGAGTCAGCTATATTGTCTATACCAAGTTAGTTCTTTTCCATAGTTTGGAGTTTCAATAAAAATCCAAGAATCCACACACAGCCAAAGCAGCTGGATATGGATCTGTTCTGGTTCACCGTGAAATCTTGTTCGTGACTCCTCAGTCCTCGCTCCTCTGACCTTTTGTTATTTCTTTGACTTAATGATACTGCTGCTTGTTTTCATGCTTCCTCGCAGCCTTGGCTTGTGTGTGTGTGTATTTGTGTGCCTGTGTGTGTGTGTGTGTGTGCCTATTGACTTTGTAGTATTGATCAGATAGAGCAGTAGGGTGGTCCTGCACTTAGTCATCAGCACATCCTGAAACTGAAGAAACAAGCTCTGTTTCTGAGAATCAGGCAAACGGAAGCGGCAAAAGTTAAATCGGCCGCATTCAACTGCTCCTTTCAGTCATTTATTTATGGAAAAAATGAGTCTCTGGGACTGGCTGTTATCCTGCATGGCCAATTTATGAGTAACACGTCTCCCGTCTGTGTAATTCACAAACTGACCTCGGCTGTTTGACTTATTGATTTTTGCTAGAACGGGGCTCCTAAAGCATCCCTCCCCTCCTGTTGGTGGGACTCCATCCAGAACACACTGTGTTCCGGCACCATGGCTCCAGCACATCCTGTGGTCGTCCTGGGGTTACTGCGGAAAGTAAGGAAGGTTCTGGCTGACTGGTCCGCTGGGTGCCCCGGGTGTCTGGTCGGGATGGCTCCCACAGGACCCACTCCCACTGATCATTATTGTCTATGAATAGCTGCTGCATTGCAGATGGAAGAAATAAAAGGGTGTTGAAGGAGAGGTAAATGGATGAAGAAGAGTAATGGTTTGTGGAGAGACAGTGAAAGGGGAATAAGATGGTGTAAAAGGGCAAGAGAAGGAGGTGTGTGTGTGTGTGTGTGTGTGTGTGTGTGTGTGTGTGTGTGCGTGTGTGTGTGTGTGTGTGAGTGAGTACACATGTGACAATGGGTGGGACTCGAGTGAAATTTCATTTTCAAGGACACTCAGGTCTCCCACTGTGGTGATTCAAAGTAATGCTGTCTATTTTCGGGATTCAGGATCTGCTCAAACAAGAAAGAGGCGTGCCAGTTTATTGCAGCAAGCTTCTAAATAAAGTGTCATTGCTCAGATGCAATAAGACGGACAAAGACTCGCAGAGAGAAAAGCACTGAAAGGAGTGAACACAACCAGACAGGGCGGGAATGAAGATGATAAAGAGCATGTGTCCATTGCCTCATTACATTTTAGAGTCTTGATGAACAGGTAATGATCGCTGTAGCCTCACAAACCTTCATGTTCCCTCATTGTAGCTCTGACAGAGACAGGGACACAGCTTTTTTCTTTTTTTTTTTACTGAAATTTGCAATGAATCCCATAATGCGACTGTCTGAACAAATTTACATCGATCAGCCACATCGTCAGACACTGACAGGTGAAGAGAAGAACATTGATTGTCTCATTACAGTGGCACCTGTCAAGGTTTAGGACGCATAAGTGAACAGTCGGTTCTTTAAGTTGATATGCTGGAAGCAGAAAAAATGGGCAGCTGTAAGGATCTGAGTGATGTTGATAGGAGATAAACTGTGCTTGCTGGATGATTTTCCAGACATTGTGGTGTGAACCCAGCATGCAGTAGTTCGTACCTACCAAAAGTGGTGCAAGGAAGGAAGACCACTGAACCGGCAACAAGGTAATGGGTGCTCAAGGCTCAGTGAAGCGCATGGAGAGCAAAGGTTGCTCTGTGGTCCGATCCCACAGAATGGATACCGAAGCACAAATTGTGGAGTGCCCATGCTGACCCCTGTCCATCTTTGAATACACCTGCACTGAGCATGTGAGTATCAGAAGTGGACCAAGGAGCAATGAAAGAAGTTTTCTTTTACATCATGTGGACAGACAGACGTGTATGTGGTGTTTGCCTGGAGAAGAGATGGCAGCAGGACGTACTATGAGAAGAAAGCCATATGATGCACTGTTCTGCTGGGAAACCTTGGATCTTGCATTTTTGTGCATGTTAGTTCGACACCTACCTAAACGTAGCTGTGAACCAGGTGCATCCCTTCATGGTAACAGTATTCCCTGATGGCAGTGATCTCTTTCAGCAGCATAATCCTTGCTGCCACACTGCAAAAAAAATGTTCAGGGATGGTTTAAGGAGCACGGCAAAGAGTTCAAAGTACTGACTTGGCTTCCACACCTCCACGCCTCATCTTGCTTATAAGACATAAACAATCTGCTGTTAACATCATTATGCATTACATCACAGCCACCCTTTAGAGGTTTAGTGGCGTCTTTACCTCGACAGGTCACAGCTGTTTTGGTGGCATGATGAGGACCTACTCAGTATTGGTCAGGTTGGTTTTAATATTGTGGCTGCTTGATGTATGTCCTGAACATGAGTACTACAGCTAAGGCTGCAACCAATATTTATTTAGTATTTTCAGATAGGCTTATCAGTTATAATCTGGTTAAAGGGGGTGTCTTCAATCTAAAATTCAAAGATATCTCATTCACAACAACTGCAATAAAAGCACATGCTGGAGAAGCTGGAACCAGAGAGGAGTTTGGTGTGTTTATTTGAAAAATGACCAAAACTGTTGTCAGAAGAGCTAAATAAATTAATTGAACATTTATCGTTTACTTGAAACAAAAATTATTGCTTGCAGCTTCTCATTGAGAACTTGCTGCTTTTCTTTAGCTCCATAATAGTAAACATGCAATTTTACATCTCTCCCGCTGACCAAGGGAGCAGGACGTTTGTTTATTAATGATAAAAGAACAGCAGTGAACTAGTTGTTCGTTTATTTTCAGCTGATCGACTAATCGTTTGCTGGTGGGTCCATGTGCTGATTGACTCTGTGGCCTGTTGAATGATGATGATGATGATGATGCTACAACGTGCCAGTGGGCTGCTCTGCCTTACTTGACAAAAATGTGACATTAACGTGTCCTTGTGGCAGATGTTTGTGGTTCTGGTTGAACGTGAAAGGCTTCAAACTCTGTACACCTCCTTCTCTCTCTCCCCCTCTCCTCCCTCCCTCCGTACACTCCGCTGTATTCCGCTCACTCCCGTCAGTCGCGGTTACCAGGCGTGCAGTAGCCAGAGCAGCGGACGGCTTTAACGGCGGCGCGGCTCGGGATCTCCCCGCCATTTCCTCGTGTCGAGTCCTGGAATGTCGAGTAGCGGTTCGGGCTCTTCCTCGCGGAAGGAGTTCGATGTGAAGCAGATCCTGAGGATCCGATGGAGGTGGTTCGGTCACCCCGCGGTGCCTCCGCCTCACTCCCCGCCGCTAGGAGACTACTTCGCCGGGAGGAGAACGGGCGGCAGCTCCGGAGACGGACCTTCAGTTAGCGGCAGTAGCAACTCGAATTCGGCCGGTGTAAACCCCAGCGCGGGGGGTCACAGCGGGCTGGTGGCCAGCGGTAGCGCCGGGTCTAACCTGTGTAACGGCAGCAGCAGAAAGTTTGCTGATCCGGCGGGGAGTCGGGGCGGACCGGGAGGAGCGGCAGCTGGAGCGACGGGGAGCTCCTGTCCCCGCTCCTTCAGCCAGCCGGAGTGCAGAAGTTCTGCCGCGGCGTTGTCGTGGGTCTCCCCGCCGCCTCACCGTCGCTCCCGCCCGTTGACGAGCATGGAGCCCCCCGGCGAGGCCCCGGTGCCCCAGCTGGCACCTGAGCCCTCCGCTCATGCCGGGGCGGAGGTGGAGGAGGCGGCGGCGGCGGCGGCGGCAGCGGGCAGCGAAGAGAACAACAACCACCCAGAAACAGACTCCAGCTCCTGCAGGTAGGATGCTTGGGAGTTTTGTGTCTGGAACTCTTTTTTTTTTTATCTGAAAAATGTGTAGTTTGTTTCAGTGAAATTCATAAAACACACCCTTCACTGAAAAGTTTATACAAGTAAAGAAAACACTAGTTTAACAACGTGTACTTTGATGAATCACTGTCACATTTGTAAAACCACCGTGTTTTGTTACTTGTAGTCCAACGAGGGGTTCACCTTTTTCGTTCCACCACAGACACACGCAGCAAGTGGAAACTGTGAATGTGCTGCTGCTGAATTTACAGAAAAAGTGAACGGAGGGGATTTACCAAGAGGCTGCTCAGTCAGTGTGCAGTGTTAACATATAGATAGACAGAAAGAGGGACAGAGAGAGAACATGATGGCAGAGCACCTTTGGGACAGCATGTGGTCCACTGATTTCTCCCCTCAACCTCCTAATGAGGCTTCACCATCCAGCCTCTATGAGAGGATGCACACAGAAATGGTACACTCTTGTGAATATGGGAGTCAAATTTACAATCTGACTCCAGGGCTAAGCTCTGCATGCAGCAACATACTGGGCCTGACATTTATATTGTTTTGTCTCCACTGTCTGATTGTGAAGCTTGTATTCATAATCCTTGGAGTGCTGCATGTTTGTGTGCACATGCATGATGGCATGTGTGTTGCACTAGTGTGTCCACCCAGCTGAGATGCTGCAAAAAGGCATTTAATTAATAGTTGCCATGGGGACAGCCAAACAAAGTAATTAGGGTGTCATAACTTCTCTTGTGGACATGCGTGGATTTATGTTTTTTGCTATAATGCAGCAGTTAAATGTGATGAGGTAAACAGAAAAACATAAACAGTGAGTGTGTGTTTATGTGTGTGTTTACTATGCTGGCAAAATGATGCATCTGAAAGCCTCCCATCATACTCAGCGTTCCCAAGACACACATCACAAAGTATAAATGATTCATAGGACAACACACACACACACACACACACAATTTAAAGCAGCTTTTAGTGAGAACAAGCGTTGATGTATTTTTTGAAATTGATTAATGCCTGATGCGCTTTCATTCTGAACCCATTTGTTTTCACCGCTAATGTGTATGTTTCCTTGTGTGTGTGTGAGAGAGAGAGGGGGGGAGAGAAATATGGTTTTAAAAATATCTATTGTTATGCAAGGCTTGATGTCATATCTTCAGTGATGATGAGGTCTGGCAGCGCTTACACAGAAAATTACTTCTGCCTAATAGTAACACACACACACACACACACAAGCCACATTAGCATAGGGAAAGTAAAATTTATGATGTGAGATGTGGATTTTGAGTATGTATTGTACATGCATGCAGCCATGTCTTTGCACTTAATATGGTTGCCATACCAACACACATATTAGTTATTTGCTGCATACATGTGCAAGTCTGTTTCTGTTTGTGATGTGTATGCATGTGCTTGTCTCTCTGTATGTGATTCATCCTCTCCCCTCAGATATCCTGTGTACAGTATGATACTCCAAGAACGCGGGTGGCAGAATCCCAAATGGGATCGTGCGAAGGGACGCGTACAGAATCCCAGAGTGGCTGAAGGCTCTGCACGGCTCCACTCATCTCCTCCTCTCCCCTTTACGTTCACACCCCACCCAGCTTTCATTAAATCCTCCCTTACTTGCCCTCTCTCCTTCTCTCTTTTTCTGTCCCATGTTCATCACTGCCCTCCCTCAGCCATTCATTTGGCCTCTCCTTTTTTCCTCTTGCTAATGTGCTGGGAAGTGTGTGTGCAAATGTGACTGTGTGTGAGAGAAAGAGAGAGGGCCAGGGAGAGAGACACTGAATGATAGTTGGGTGAGTGTCCTTGCCTGGTGCAGGGGTTTAAAAAATCTGGCTGCATGGTGTTGATTCACCCTAGACACACTCCCTCTTTCTCCGTCCTCTCTGTCTGTGTTGAGTGCCTGCCAGGCTCAGTTAAGGGGACTGGAAGGCAGCGTTCCCCCACTTCAAAGCCATCTCCTCTGGCAGTATTTAGCCACACCATTCGTCTGCATACACACACTTACACAAACGCACGCATACACGCACACTAGAGGGCAGGAATGCCAGCCAAAAAGCCTCCTTGGAGGGTTACAACAGGATAGGGAAGAGAGAAAATGGAGGCAAAGATGGATGATGGGATGAGGTGGGGTGAAGTGAGTGAATGATGAGATTAGTTGGAGATATAAAAGTGGGGACAGGAGATAGCTAGAGTAGACTGAGGCAGAGGGTAGATGACTACCGGCCACAGCACATCAGAGAGCAGCACACACACACAAGCCTAAATGTGTGAATAAATACTCATGCTGTGCAAGCCATATGCACCGGTCTTTACCCCAACAGCGATGGAGATTATTCTTAAAGTCACAAATCACACTAATTTCCCTCAGAGACCTTTAAACCTGCACGGTGAACTTGTTTCCATGCAAGACCAACTCACAAATCTAGCAGCTATGGAGCTTCTGTCCACTGTTCTTCTCTCCTGTACTTCTCTTTTGGGCTCCATCAGCTGCTGAATAATTATAAGGCTCTTTAGCTGATGAATGCTCTAGTATGTGCACTAGTTAGTTATTAAGTTGGGTGCTGAGCAGGTAGCACACAGGTGGAATTTAGAGGCTATTTTGCTGCAAACAGTTGCCTGCTGTGCCTGAAAGCAAAGCGGATGAGAGTCAGACCAAAGACTGAACCAAAAAAGAAAGGCTGCAGACTGGAAAGTCTAAAACAATGAGCCGATAGATGTAAAGTTTCTTGCAACCGCAGAGTCTGGTGGTAATTCTCTGTGGCTTTGCCACTAAAGCAACCCCTTTTATACTCCACATAGTCACTTGCTGTTCTTAAAACATTTATTGTAGCCACTGTAAGATTTATTAATCCAAAAATAAAAAACTGAATAATAGAACTGTTTTACTGAAAACCAAAAAGTAACAAAGTTCTCAAAATTATGGATCAGAAAAGATGCTGAGCAACTTCCAGCTCTAAGCTCTATGATAGGACTTGACAAAGACCTAGGAGGGGACACACTACTCGTACACATGAGAATGATTTGTGATTATCCTATTTTTGATTCCCCCCCCCCCCTTAATATCATCTTACGCACACAAGCCACATTTTCTAATGCTTTTTCCCAGAATTAGTTTCTGTGTGCTTCAATCTAGCTTCCTCACTGTTGATTCCTGGGAGAACACCCATTTCCAAAATGGCAATTTGGGACAGTTTGACTTGCGACAGTGTGAGCTTTGGATACACACACAGTCGTACTTCAATATTCCTAAAAGAGTGTGATTTCTCTTTTAGCTATGTTGTTGAAATGGTATCCTTGGAGTATCTTTTTTTTGTTGTTGTTTTTAAAAAAAAATCTCTTTGTGCTATCGGGCTAGTCCCTGCCACTTCTGCTGTTAAATTAAAAAATGAGACTACAGCTCTGGCTCTCATAAATTAAACGCTGCTGTGGGAGCCATGATGGCTGATGATTCACAGGGTAGCTATACTTTGGTGCTTATCTTTCTCAAACACATGTACACACAAATTCACACATATACCTCATCAGCTCTGACTGGAAAATAAGACAAAAACAGCCCTCGGCTTGAAGGTTTCCACCAGTGAATAACGAATGTTGAAGCCATCCTGTCCCAAAACCCTGCTTCGTTTCCCATTGTTGGTATAGATGCAAGGAAACTGGTTGCCATTAGGGAGCAGAGTAAATTACAGCATATCCTATGGGCTCGGCTCCCACAGCTATTTAATTGGCAGATTCTCTTTTAAGTGGGCTAAATTTATCTGGCCATTTACTCCTAGTAATTGGACCATTAAAGAGCTTTTGTCTGCTTCTGGCGACATACAGTAGCCTTGTTGAAAAGTGAAGAAGAGAATGAATACATGTGAGGGAGCGATACAAAGAAAACGATATTGTGCATGGAAGAAACAGAGCAGCTGGTGTAGCTCTCTCCACACATCTGTTTCTTTGTTTTGAACAAAAGAGAATCAACATCAACACATGCACTCAAAGCTTCTGTCTCCTTCTCTTTGTGTCTTTGTCCATATGTGTTTGTGTGAACGCCTGTCTTTGTCTGTATGTCACTGTGCTGGTACAGGACGTCAAACAGCAGCGCCACGCTGTCCTCGTGCGTTTCGATGGAGCCTTGCGCGTGTCCAGAGGACTGTATGTTCACCGCTCTGTCTCACGCCGATGTCACCTTCCGCAAGATGGAGGGTTACCTGCGGACCAGACAGCTGTGTGATGTCATACTGGTGGCTGGAGAGAGACGGATACCTGCACACAGGTGGGAGCAAAGAAATGCTAAAATGTTGCATAAGCACAGCAAAGATTCTGATGTTTAATAGATAAACTAATGGTTATTCTCATTATCAATTGATGTCTTAGTCATGTGTTCAATGAACTAATTGATTGGGCCAAAAAGAGTAAAAAAAACCCAGATAATAGAGAAATTATTGTGAGCACTTTTTAGTATTTGATGACAGAACAATCAATCAATAAACTGGAAAACTAATTAGCAGCTTAACTGTCTAAACCCCGAAACTTGCCAGCAGGTTTGAAAGGCATGCTATTATTTAAAAAATTGCCAAAATTGCACCACGTGTCAGAGCCAGAAATGGTAAAATATGAAGAACTGTCAAATTTTCCACTTTCAGAGGCTCCTAGAATTTATGTGTGAGTTTCTGTTTTGTTGGGAAAAATAATGAAATCTAAGATTTATAATGTGACATTTCATTAAAATCACCTAATTCTACACATCCTGTTTAAATATGTGCATATGAGGTGTGTCAGAAAAGTTTCAGGACTGGTGTCACAAAAGATATCTTTCGAATCCAAACTTCAAGTTTTCCCCTTCAAAGTAATCCCCCTGGAGTCTAATGCACTTTCCCAGCCTTCTCTGCCATGCCGCCATGCACTCCTGGAAGGATTCTTCCGGGATCCTCCGCAGTTCCGTCAAAATAGCCATCTTGATGTCGTCCACGTCTTCAAAACGGGTCCCCTTGATGACCCCCTTGAGCTTGGGTAGGAGGAAAAAGTCCCACGGAGCCAGGTGGGGTGAGTAGGGAGGTTGATCCAGCATGGCGATGTTCTTGTCAGACAGGAACTGTCAGATGCTCAGGGCATTGTGAGCAGGTGCATTGTCATGGTGAAGCGGCCACGACTTGTCCTGCCACAACTCTCGCCTCTTCACGCGCACTGAATGAAGCAAACGCCACAGGATCTCTCTGTAGACTTGCTGGTTGACTGTCTGAAGGGGAAAACTTGTAGTTTGTAGTTTGGGTTTGAAATCTATCTTTTGTGACATCGGTCTTGGAACTTTTCTGACACACCTCGTAACTAAGCTGTTTGAGTCAATCATATTCTGAAAAATGCACAAACTCTCAGCACAACTCAGAAGCCATTAGTGATTCAGCTGTGACCAACAGTCACATGACAGAAATTCAGGGAATTTTTAGCTGAACTGCAGGCTGGGTTTTTGCAGAGCAGATAGGAGAAAAGTATGGAAACAAAATAAACATCTATGGTAAAACAGCCATAGTATGTAGAGCCACCCTTTTTCACCAGTGTGATTAACACCTTAGAGCACTTTGTACATGCTGATTCCAGGTTTTTAAAGTCATTGTAGAATAAATAATTGTATAATTTGATGAAGTGATTTATAGCTTGATAGAGTTTGCATATTACAGAAAATGCATTTTTGTGTTTTAACTACTCGTGGCTATCACTGTTTTGTTTCTATAGGGATGCAGGACTTTACATTTCAGTAAAAAATTAGTCAGCGGTGAATAAAAATGTGACAGGAACAAAAAATACCTTGTAACTGCTTGCAAAATTAACCCGTACATGAAGTGCTGACACGTGCATCACACTAAACGTGGATCTACTCACAAACATGATAATACATACTGCATTTACAGGATACTGTTTGGAAAGAGGCTTTCACACACAGCCATGCTTGTAGGAAGTCCCCTTTTATTTTAGTTGCATCTCTGTACCATATGTACTGTAGTCAGCTGAGTCTCTGAATCAAGCATCATTCACTACACACACACACACACACACACACACACACACACACACACACACACACACACATGTGCCTGCCATCCAGCCCCCACAACTCTCCTCTGGTGCTGTTGTTACTCTCTGGGCATGTGGCCACTGGTGTAGCAGCAGGGTCCATCTGCACAAGGATGAGACAGAAAAGTGGTCCTCCACCAGCAGAAAGACTCCTTTTCTCTCCCTGCCTTCCTCTTCTGTCTCATTTAATTTAGTCCTCCAGGCACAGATGGTGACGAACAAAAGACTTTGCTGTACTAGAATCCTAATGGTGTCTGTGAAAGAGTGCGCCGCCATCTCAAGTTGCTGTGTGTGCACGTGTTGATCGTGTGTGTGCCACTGAAGGGGTAGGAGTAAGATATCTTTGTTTGAAAGTGTTTTTTTTTTTTTTCTTTTTTATGTTTGCGATTGATTTATTGTATGTGTAGGATAAAAGGGCTTTTCTGGGAACAAAACATACACCCTCTCCCTCTCTCTCTCTGTCTCTCCCTCACATGTATAAACAGAAAATGCAGCTTACGTGCTGAATAGGACATTTGTACTGTATATAGCTGCATAGTTCTTGTAGACTTTGTTGCAAACAGTGCACTTTAAGTAAAATTCCCCCATTGCGTGTACTTTAAAAAAAAAGTAGAGTACAATTGTACCTTTTGTACATTATCTTGAGCATCTATTTTTGTACTCCCATTTGGGCACTTCTGTAAGTGCTACCTTAACAGATGTTAGTAAGTATGCCATTACCTCTGTTCAGATCAATAGGTGTGCATCTGAGACCTATTATGTTCAGGCTTTGGTTCTTGTCTGTTTTTAGCACAACAAGACTAAGAGTGTACAGCGATGCAAGCCCTGCTAAGGTCTCTGTGATCCACTGTGAGGAGAAACAGGACTGGAAGGTTCTGTAGAAAAGCTGAGGGAATCAGCAGTGTGCTGGACTTAAACAGAGGTTTTACAAGAGAAAAGACTTTGAGAAGGAAGACTGGTTGGTTTTGCACATATACATCTGGTTAACCTCAGCACCTCGGTTAAAGATCAGTACACAGCTGCTTCCAGGAGCTTTTCTAAAGAACCATCAGGGACCTACGCACAGACCAACCTGAATAGGTCCTGCTGAAAGTATTGTAGCATATTAGAACTCTGAGCTGATGGTGGCAGTAGATGAAGAATCAAAGAACCGCAAAGTCATTACAGTTCGTCCTGAGGGTGACATAAATGTGTGTACTAAATTTTGTAGTAATCCATTAAATAGTTTTTGAGACAGTTCGCTCAAAAGCACAAATGTGGAGCTGCAGGGAATCACCAAAGTCATTAGGTTTAATCTTCTGGGCACCATTAATGTCTGTACTAAATTTAATGGAAATTCATCCAGTGGTTGTTTCAGTCTGGTCCAAAATTGTGTATTGACCAACTGACAGGTAGACTGACTTTCCATCCCCAGTGCCATGCATGCCTGCCAAGTACAGGTCTCTCCTGTACCTCTGTTTTTCAGTATGTGTAGGGAAAAGTAACAATACTTAAGTAAGTCTTTCTCACGACGTGGCCTGCTTGTTGTTTTCACCCTCTCTGTTTTTCCACTACCATATCTCTGTACCAAGCTGCACATCCACATCCAAACAAAAAATAAAAAAACAGACACAGTGTTCAGTTTCCAGCTTTTGCCCTCCTTTCCTGAGTCCAACTCGTCTGTTTCCTGCTCTCCTTGCTCTGGCATTTTGTCTCCTCTCTGCTCTTTCCATTACCAAGTGACACACTGCCTGTCATGTCTCTGTCTTGAGCACAGTGCATTTGTGTTTGTGTGTAAATAACCCGGTGCTGTATATAGCTTGTGTCGCTCACAGCAAGTCAGACAGAGACCTACATGAAAAATTAAGCGTGTGTGTGTGTGTGTTTGTGTGTGCCAGGCTGAGCGGGAGATAAAAAAGAGATACCTGACTGGAATACTGGCAGAACAACTTCCTGCTGACTATAGTGCATTTTGACATCTGTGTCTGCAAAACACACACACACACACACACACACACACACAGCCCTTCTCTGCTTCAGGCTATCTGTCAAGGTCCCAGTGTCACACTCAGTAATGAGATTATTCACATGCGCACAACATGTGCACATATTCAGTGAATCCACACACATATGTTTGTTGACCATGAGAAAAAAACATACAGAAACACGACTGTGGGAAAAAATGTGCATAAATTGTGAGCACACACACCATCAATTTCACACGGGAAAATCTGTCTAATGTAAATCGGGCGATCAAAGTGACAAATATGATGATGTGAAACGGAGAGAAGCACAAAGTTTGCAAAGCTGCAATGAGGTCATGGCTGGCCTTTTTGCTTGAAAAATGACTCAAACAATCAGTTATCAGGATAGCTGATTATTATTACTTTGTCGATCAATTGTAGCATCTTGAAATATAGCTTTATCATGAGCCATTTACTTGTCCTCAGCCATCTTTACAATAAGATGATTAAAACATTTGCATTTTGTTTTATTTACAGAGACATCTCCAGGATTAATAAGTGCTTTTTGGTACCTTTGTAATGCCTTGATGTTGGCGTGAGTGCATTTAACTTCACGGTGACATGAAAGGGTAATGGATTGTTCCAGAAGGGAATTAATTGTCTTTTGCGAGTGACCTTAAGATAATGCTTCTCTGTCCTTCATCTCTGTTGCCTTCCATTAAGCCACATAACTTCTTCCTCAGACTCTGCTGCCACTAAGTTTTACATTGACCTTATATTAAGCATATTCGTCTCACTTTCCTTTTGTCTGATCTATGAGGGCAGCTGCTGACAGATGTAAACTGAACCGTCTCCCCTGTGACTGCACAGATTGCAAATCTTTTTATGTCACTCATGCTGATTTTTTTGTGCTGGCAGTTTTCTATGAATTTTGCATAGATTGTAGCATTTGCAAATAAAGTATTTAAGAAATAAGGTCTGAATAAATACGAACATTTTATTCACAAGGGCAACTTAGAGCATAAAACAAGAAGATGAGCACATGAGTGGAATTACAGAACAGTCGTGGCATTATGTTCTTAATTATATTTGTGACTTTTCAGAGAATACCACTATTTAAGTTCTAGAGATTCCCCACAGAAAAATTCAGCAGATATTTTAATGATCTCTAAATTGTTTCAGTCTATAACCGGAAATGCCACATATTCCCCTCGGTGCAGGATTTAAAGCTTTTCTTTGCCATATATGATCATTAACTGATGTTGATGAGAAGGTTCAACTCAAATAAACATGTGAATACAGAACTTGGGGTTGTGGGAATTTATAGGACATATTTTTCACTAATTTCTTACACAAAATTATTAATTTGCAGATTAATTAATAATGAAAATCATCTTTAGTTGTAGCAGTACTTAAGATATTCACTTGCTTCAGATTGCAATAATATGAAAAGCGTTGGAAAAATGTGTCAGTGAGAGTAAAGCTCCAGTCCATGTGGCACCATCTTTTCCAAAAATTAGCTTTGTTTCACATAATCTTGTAATGTAGCACTGACAACCAAGATAAACAACTGTATACAAGTAAATAAGCTCAGGTCTGTTGTCTTTATTTTACAATTCATGAGTATTTACATGCACATTAGCTAATAAGTACTCACTGTTGAGGGAAAACCTAAATGGTTAAACATCTGAAGCTCTTTATCCTCAACCTGCTCGTGATGTACAAACATCTGGAGAGGCCTCGGGCCTGTGCCAGGCTTTTGTTTGCATAGTTTTCTTCTATCTTTCATAAGATCTCTTCAGAGAGAGGAGTGTGCACTCTGAGAGTCCCATTCAGATGTAATTTATTTGTTCAGGGGAAGTGATATTAATAGTACAGGAACTAATGGGATATTTTAATCCTGCCTAAAGTGCATTTGTGTTGACTTTTTTCCCCCTCTACTGCAGGAGTAGTAACAGTCCATTCATTTCATGTTTTTGTCACTCTTCTTAGTTGGCACCTTTCTGTATTTGCGTGTTTTACCTTGTTCTTTTGCAGCCTTTATGTTGAATATTGCATTGTATATTACATTTTATTGAGACGTTTTCATGGTGAACGTGTTCCAGAAATGTCACTGGATTGGAACTTTTAAGTAAAAGTGGCCGGGGTGCTTGTTCAGACGTGACACTGTCAGACTAAAATAAAGGGGTGAAAATTGACAAATCACTTGAGAGAGAAGTTCAAGCTGTCGTTGTATAAAGTGGACCTGAATGTCAGATTTAAAGTTTCAGGAAGATGCACAGACTGCTGGACCCAACTGCACTACTTCTAGCATTGAAAAGCAGTTTTCAGAGGCTGTTCGGCCCTCCAACAAGCTATTTATTTGGAAGATTCTGATGTCTTTAATGCTGCTCGTGTATCTGCTTTATGATCTGTTTACGGGATGATTGCGTTGGGCCTCGTCTGATTGTGTTGTCCTTCCCAGGCTGCCTTTTCCGTCCCTGTTCTGCGTCTTTTCCCTTTCAGGCCAGACTCATCCTGTCAGCAAGGTCAAAGTACTCTGTTTCTCCATTACAGCTGTCCATCCTCTCTGACTGATGCCTGACACTCTCTGCTCTCACAGGCTGGTCCTTTCATCAGTGTCAGACTACTTTGCGGCCATGTTCACCAGTGATGTGCGGGAGGCCAAGCAAGACGAGGTGAAGATGGAAGGAGTAGACCCTGATTCACTGTGGGTCCTGGTGCAATATGCATACACAGGTACACACTTACTTCCTTTATTAGAGAGATCAGCAGATAGAATGAGGCTCCTCTTCCTTGCTAGAAAAAAAATACATTGTATGCTGCACTCATAGTTACCAGACCTGGTGAAATAATTTTTTTAAAACCCAGGCTACCACAGCATAGGATGCATACTGTTTAGGATTATACGAATTTACAACAACATTGAATTGTCAACAAAAATCCACATCATTCATCATTACCATCACCTCTGGCACTGTAGTACCATATTCATTTCCATTTACAGCCACAACATGCTGTAGGAGTATGTGTGTAGCAGCATGACAGTGCCCCAAAAGAGAAGTCAAAACAGCTTCATCTCTAGTGGCCTCCTCTTTAGGAGGTGCTTGATTGGATACGCAACACAATTTTCATGAGCAGAGTACATGTTTTGCACATCAATATTGCTTTCAATCTTTTTGCAGGTTATTCTATCTCAAATCATCAGGGGCTTTCTGCTCGACTGATTTACTTTAAACTTTACTTTTTTTTATCATGAACTAGGGATATTCAAAACGTTATCTGTAAAGTTTTGGACTGATGTATGAAGTGCTAAGATAAAAAAAATTCACTTTTAGCAATTTGTTTTTCACACATTTATAAAAACACAGAAAATGTGGGTATTTATAAAGATATAAATACATATAAATGTATATATATACATATAAATGTATACATATATGCATATACTTTTTTTTATCAATTCAGAATGTGACAGTATTGGTAAGTAAGAGTATTGTAAGTAGAATAATCTCTGACTTGAAAAATTGAAGCCATCATGAAAGTCACATCTTTGAGCACAAATGAATAAAACTATTGATAATCTGCAAGTCAACTAGCGCTAGTTTGGTACCTATATGTTTTCACATGTCACAATAATGCAAAAAAATATAGAATACTTTTTAATATGAAGCACTTGGTCACAAAAATGAAATTAGTTTATATTTTTAACCATGCCATTGATTCAGAATCAATGGAATGATGAGAAATAACAGTGAAAATGTCAGGCTTTTGGCTTTAATTCCCGAGATCTTTAGTTCCTGAGATATTGCGGTTCAATAAAAGTCTCAAATTTTCAATGCGGGATATCATTCTTTATCAGGCAAATCAGAGATGGCCAAGCAGAAATTGTTATAAAAACATGTTCCACCCTTCTGTTATTCATGAACAAGATTATTTTTTGATCACCTAGTAGACACACACTCCCATGTTCACACCACTGCATCAACGCATGTCACCTAGGCCTATATATTTTATGTAATGACACATAATCCCAGTAGTAACAGAGACCACTCAAAACCACTCCACCGGTGCAACATGTTAATCAGACATAATAAAGCAGTGGGACAGCTTGCAGAGATGTGATTAATTAATCTCCCTCTTCCTCCCTTTACTGTTGCCTTCATGTTGCCCAGGCCGCCTTGAGTTGAGGGAGGACACCATTGAGTCTCTGTTGTCAGCCTCCTGCCTGCTGCAGTTGTCATCTGTGGTCCAGGCCTGCTGCTCCTTCCTCATGAAGCAGCTCCACCCCTCCAACTGTCTCGGCATCCACTCCTATGCTGATGCTCAGGGTTGTCATGACCTGCAAAGGGCCGCTCATGCCTACACCATGGTGGGTGCAGCCGTTTCATATTTTCTGTAGACATCCACTGCTTCAGTCACCACAAGAAAATGAGGGAAATGACTACTATGGGAAATATAGATTGATGGAAATACAGATGATGTGTAGGTTCTGACTGATAAAGCTAAGAACAGATTTTACCTTCTCCACCTTCTATGCAGCGTTCCCCAATAAAACATCGGTCAGTTTACAGCCTTGATTTTACTCTTGGTAACAAATTGGCTGCTCATTCACACCGCACCATTATTGCCACAGTGGCTGTTTTTTTCAGCGCAGCGTTGCTATGGTGACGGTGAAATAGCTCCTTCATCGGCTTGATTATTCTTTTTCTTTTCTTGTTCTCTGCTGTCTTTACATGGCTCATTTTTCACCCAGCCTCTCTTCATGTGTCTGTCTCTGTCAGTAGCACTGTTCCTCTCTTTCTCTCTAAGTGGATTATTGTTAAGGTTTAATCTGGGTAATTATGTCGTAAAGGTGGCTTTATTTTGGTGTGACTGTCCGTGTCTGTAATTCAATCGCGCGCACACACATTCACACACATTTCCACAGCTTTACAGGATTATTACAGCCTTTGTATAAGAGCTACACAATCACAGTCACTTGGTGGAGAAAAGTCTATATTGTTTACATTTCTTTTATTTTTTGAAGGCAAGCCACATTTGCATTGGTTTACTTTTCCTTTTTCTAATTTCTATATATTCTACTTTCCTAAACAAATTGACAAATTAAAGAAAAATAATGAAAATAAGATTAGACAAGACTGCACTTTAAGAGAGATGATTGCATCTCTCTTTAAACTGTTAGACAAAAAAATACATATTTAAAGATATTATTTGCAATTGAGGATATCATAAACGACACTTGCTGCTATTTTCTGTCAATTTATTGATTGAACAATTAACTGATTCATTTAGACCATCACCATCAGATCATTTGACAGTGAAAATGACTGTTCGCTTCAGTCTTGTCTTGCTATCTTCCACACCTGAATCATGCTAAGCTTTTCTCATCCAGATCCCTTTTTCCAGCTTCTCCTCTCTTATTTCATCTGACCCTTCTCAAGCCCTTATTTCCTTCCTTTTTTCCCTTCTCCTTGCCCTCCGTCAACCCTTAATCCCTTTCCTCACTGCACTCAAATCCTCTCCGTTTTTTTTTCCTTCTCTTATTCCCCTCTTCTTCATGCAATACATTATTCATCTATACTTACTCTTTCCTTCACTACACCTCTCAGTCATTTCGTCTATCACTCACTCTTCCCTTCTTCATCCACCAGGAACACTTTCTGGAGGTAGTCGGAGGCCAGGAGTTCCTATTACTGCCAGTGGAGGAGATGGAAAGGCTGCTCACATCTGACGAGATCAATGTGCCAGATGAGGAAACCGTAGTAACCTCTTTGCTAACCTGGGTCAGTCATGATGCCCCCACTCGTCAACGCCACCTGCCGTTGCTGCTGGCTCATATCAGACTGCCACTGCTGCAGCCACAGGTGAGACCTGCAAACAACTCATTGCTACATGCAGTTTTGTAAGCATATAGTAAGATTTAACAGTCACAGATGCACCAATTTGACTTTTGCTCTCCAGATTTCGATTTCTGTACCCCAGCCCTGGTTATTTGTCTGTGTCAAGTGCTAATCCAAAAGCACTGGTCTCTTTTTCCCAAATTTTAAATCTGCATCCCTCACTGTGTCAAACTCAGTGAAATCATTTCTATGTAAAGTAACAAGAAGCCAAGATTTGCCGTAGCACTAAAAAGCAGGTTGGCAGTCTGCCATGACTGAATGAATCTGATAGCAGAAACCTAGAATTTTAAAATTCATTGAAAAAGCAACTGTATTAATGTGGCTTAGTCTCGCCATGGTTGATTCATGACCCACTCATATGGTTAGCGTTCATACAGATGCAGATCTGGTATGTCATTTAAATGCATATTTATAATTACAATAAAACTGTTTCTGGCACATACTAGAAGTCACTCTCCAGCTAGTTCAGAATGCAGCAGCTTGGCTTCTTACTGGTTTTATCAGACAAAATCACATCCTGCCAATCCTGGCTTCTTTCCACTGGCTCCCTGTTCGTTTTAGAATAGACTTTAAGATTTTACTGATCACTTTTAAAGCTCATCTGGGTCTGTTTCCAAGCTACATAGCAGAAATGTTAACCCCATCTGAGCCAGTTCACAGCCTCAGATTATCAAATGCGGTCCTTCTGGCTGTTGTATGAAATGAGGCTGCAGAATCAGTGGCTTCTTTTAAATTGTAAACTCATTTTAGTGGACTTTTCTGTTATGCTGCCTTTATATTACTTGTATTATTCCATTCATATTTATTTCAATAATTTTCCAGGCCTGGGATAAATAAAGTATTTTTCTATTATATTCTACTTATAATGACATTTTGCATCTTTTGTCTTCTTGTTTTTTTTTTATTTAATTTGAATATTTTTTTAAATTTGCTTTTGTTTGGTCTTATGGCCGGTGTCCTGCATTTTCTTTATCTGTTTTCAAAGATGTTATATAAATACATTTGTGACTACAATAAGGTCTAGCAAGTTTATATCTGCCACTGTATTATCATCTGTTACTTCCTCTGTCGCAAAATTTTCCTTTGTCCTATTTTTCTTTCTTTCTTGTTATTTTTGGTCCTTGTCACTTTTTTTTTTACCTGAATAGATAAATGTGAATCTGTATATTGCCAAAAAGGGGCTGCAAGGTGGATCGGTGGTTAGCATCATTGCCTCCCAGCAATAAGGTCGCCGGTTCGCATCCCGGTGAGGACACCCGGGGTCTTGTCTTCTGTCCCCTGCCTTCACCTAGAGTCAGCTGGGATAGGCTCCAGTCCCCCCGCGACCCTAGTGAGGATTAAGCGGTGTATAGATAATGGATGGATGTTGCCAAGAAGCTAAACCATGAAAAGATTAATAGCATTCAGTATCAACTAGCAAAAAGGACATTATTTTTAGACCGTCTCCCTGTTGTTGACCATTTCTCTCCATGTGTGGCATTAATCAATGCATTTCGAAGCTGGGACCACATAAATATTTTAGGGGCTTATTGTGGGAGCTGTCAAGGTTGCTTTTGTCCTCATATCTTTTACTGCAAAATTTTGAGACTAGAGTGTGCACCAGTCTCCCTCCTGATGGTCTGCTGGTTGTTTTCCATGGCCAAATTTGTCTCGTGTTTTCTTCCTCCATCTACCTCTCTGCCTCATCCTGGATACAACCAGCCTGCCTCTCAGTCTGGTTCACGATCCTCTTCAGACTGAAAGACTTATACAAACATCATGCTTTTAGATATGTGTGTGTGTGTGTGTGTGTGTGTGTGTGCATGTGCATCTCCAAGCTCTGTCCAGCTTGTGTAGCAGGATATCTGGCTGAGAAGTTTATAAGCGAGGCAGAACCTCACTTACTGCCTGGGGCTTTGGCTGCACTAACACTCACAGACACACACCAACACACTCACACATTAAAAAACCTTAATTAAGTGTGATATCTCTTTTAGCTGCGGCTAAATTATCTGTTCTCTTCATCTTCCTCATCCGCAGTTTCCCCCTCTATATATAAAGAAACTGTAGCGATAAAACTCCCCATTGCAACCTCCCGGTCTTTCCATCATCTCTGCCTACATCTATACATCTCCCTGTTTTTGCACTTGTGCAGTATACAGACCCAACACCTCAGATATATGACTTTGCCCTGGTCAGCTGAAATCACAAGTAGCTGTAACATATAATCGGGGAGAAGATGGATGGCAGAGAGGTAAAGCGGTAGAATGGCAACAGAGCAGAGAGAATGAAAGCAGAGGGACCACAGAGCTGAGGCTTGCTTCTACCTTTAAAGCTGCATCATGTGTGAGAGCCCCACCACACCACGCCAAACTGGCGAGTGAATTATCATTCAGCAAGCTCATAAGCCTTGAAATGCCAAAGTGACATATAAACCTCACGAAGACAACTGATCAATATTCATCAACCAATTAGTCAGCTCTCTATGTAGGCCGCCATGCAATTACTTATCAAGACGATGTCATTTCACCAGATTAACACCTTTAATCCCTGCTTCCCATTACCACTGTCTCACACACGCGCACACACACACACACACACACACACACACACACACACACATACACTTGGTCTAATCTTCTCAGAAAAGCAGCTGTGGCCTGACAGTGTGCACCAAACAGTTGTTTGACAGTTTGTATTTGCAGTTTGTAACCAGTGGAAATTCAATGTTTTTGTAGCTATTTCGAACAGAAAGCCGCAAAGAAAAAACAACTGTCATGGAGAGAGGCTCTTAAATACAGGGGCAGCAGTGCACATTGTCAGATAGTCTTACCTAAAAGACATTTATAGTACTCATGCGCTATGAACAGCAGTTTGTGCTTGAGAGAGATGTTGTACCTCTGTATAGCTTGCCAGTTATGGCCTGAAATGGGTGTGAATGCTGGGTTGTCAAGTTTAGAAATTTGTAGAAATTGTCAGACACAACCCCTAACTCCCCACCCTCAATTCCAGGATCAGAATGGTGTGAGGGGTGGGAATTTGACATCCGGCAAGTATCCTGATGATTTATACTGTTGGATGAAATGGGTGTGCGTTTCATCAGTGATAATCATTGATTAATCTGCAGGACTTTTTCTTGTTTTGTCTCAAAAGTTGCAGAAAAAAAGAAATACCATATCTTCATATCTTGAGTTTTCTAGTCTGAAATACTTAAAAGACAGAGGAAAGTAGATACTTGTTGTTATTTAAAAAGCTGGAAATAAGGATCTAAAAACAACATTTGTATCAATTTTGAGGCTGTTTAAAAGTCACTGTTGCATGTAGCCAAATGCTTGCTAATGTGTTCCCAATGCTGATATGCAAATGTTTAGCAGATATGATCACTATGTACCATGCTTATAATTTAAGCTACTTTTACTAATTGACACTAAACACAAAGTACAGAACACCTGCATTTGGTCATAAATTAAAGAATCAGAATAAGTAAATATATAGCGTGATGATGAGGAGTGACAGGAACCCACAAGTCCGTAGGATTTATCTCCTGGTGATCTTGAATGTTTGTACCCACATTAAATCTTACCCAGATTACTCATACTGAACATCAAAATATTAGCATATCTATTGATTAAATCATCAGTTAATTAACATGCATTTTGTGGGGATGATACAAAGGTAGTGCGTTCATAGGAGATCAAGATGGAGGGGACAGGTGCTACTAAGCACGTGCCTTGAAAGAAAAATGAGTGGAGCATAAAGCATGAAAAATGTGAATAGCTTGGAGATGCGGGTTTTATATGTATGGGAGTGTGTGTTTGTGTGTGTTCGTTATAAGTGGATAGAGCCTGTGCAGCCTCTTCCAAGTGTGAGCTAAAACAGAGATGATAACACGACTTGCTCAGGTGGGAAGCCTGCAGGATTCAGTCTTATCTTGCTCTCCACACTCAGTCCTTCACAGCGTGATGGATAAATACCACAGGAGAGGGCAAATAAGCTTTTTTCTAGATCTGTCCTTGTTGAGCGCACACACGTAGACACACGCACACACTCAAATGAATGCACAAATAGGGTTCACCGTAATTTGTCCCTCGGTGATTGTACGCAATGGAAGTGTGGGTTCACCCTGGCGTGTAAGCTGCTTATCCATTTACCATGCTTGCTTTACGCTCTCCACGTCTGGCTGGGAAAATTGATTTTGTATTCAGTGACCAAGTTGAATTATTTGGGTTGAATCTTTCTTTTTGTGCTGGTGAGAATTATGGAGGAGAACACAAAGAAAGACGAAAGGGTAAAAAATAATTATCTGTTTTTATCATGGAGTATAACCTTTATATTTGGTCTCTATCATTGAATCTTAGTAGTCATCTCTGAATTTAACTTCAGAAAACACAAAGATGCAGGCATACACAAAGTCTGGGAACTTAAAATGACTTGGAAATCCTGTGGAACCTTTACTGCTTCTCCATCTATCAGTACACACAAACACACACACACCTATCTAAATGTAAATCATGTAATTCTAGCCTTCAGGGAAAACTTGCTTCTCACCACCCTGCCTCTCACAGGCAGTGGTTTCCTCTGGATGTATTTTAAGGAGCAGACTGGTGGATTCGAAGTGCTTCATGCTGCAGCCCCTGGCTGTTTGTGTGTGAGCCTGTCTGTGTCTTTGCATGTGTGTCTGTGTGTAAGATCACAGATGAGGTTAGAGGGTACGGACTAGAGAGCCGATGAGATGCTGAGTCCTCTAGTATGTTTGATGATCAGTGTGTATGTGTTCTTTTGCGTTTGTGTGCACTAATGGTTGTTTGTCTGATCTGATCGAATCTCTCAATCAATGAGAGAGCAGCTTTCTTTCGGCTCTCAAACCTCATCAATCAGTGATAACGTCGTAACAGACATGGACCTACACCCATGTCCAAGTCATGCATACACCTACCCTGCATATGTTTCATCTGCAGCTGTCACCTCAGTGCTTATGTGTGTTGTTTTTTTTTCCACATTTGTAGTTTTTGGCAGACCTGGAGACCAACTCTCTCCTCCGGGACAGTGTAGAGTGTCAACGGCTCCTGATGGAAGGGATGAAGTATCACCTTTTGCCCCAACGTCGGCCCCTGCTCCAGAGTCCCCGCACCCGGCCCCGCAAAGCCACAGTAGGGGCCATGTTTGCTGTTGGGGGAATGGACGCGACAAAAGGTAGAACACACAAACCCACACACAACCAGGCAGAAATGATACTGAGGTGTTGATTCAATATGCATTTGAACTGTCCTGAAGATAAATCAAAGTCTCTGTAAAAGAGTGTATTAAAACACTGAACACTCTAACTTTCATGAGGGAGGACAATAAAAGCTACACACATTTCCACGTTACTCTGGCTTAGCAATAGATAACTGTGACATGTCATCATGTTTGGAAAAAGATTTCAGATTTATAAGGCCTTTATTTTAAAAGAAATAAGACATAAAGAACATAAACAGAATTTTAAAAGGTACAAAGAAATTCACTGAAGGAGCAGCATAAAAATTACAGTGCAGTGGAAGACATGAATAAGTAGTCATGAAAATTATATCAAAAGTCTTCAGCTGAGATAATCACAATCAAACTGACAAATCAGTGTGTGCGTGTGCGTGCATTCTCTATACACATTTAACGCAACCCAGTCCATGATATTAAGGCTTGATACTTCATAAGGGGAATTGATCAGGAGTATTTTTGTCAGGTTTGGCAATATTCTTCAGTATTGTTCTTGGGGTAAAAACCTTTACACTTAAAAGGTTTTCTCACATACATTTATCTGTCCATGTGTGTTTTTCCCAGGGGCCACGAGTATCGAGCAGTACTGTCTGCGTCGGGACACGTGGAGGCAGGTCGCCACCATGAGTGGGCGGAGACTGCAGTTTGGTGTAGCTGTCCTCGACGGCCGTCTTTATGTAGTCGGAGGCCGAGATGGACTTAAGACCCTCAACACTGTGGAGTGTTACAACCCACACAGCAAAACCTGGAGCGTCATGCCTCCCATGTCCACACACAGGCACGGCTTAGGTGAGGACCTTATTCAAATCGAAAGATGACATAACGACGTGCTGGAAAAAGCTTTGAAAATATCATTCTGAAGTGTTAGTCTTACAGCAAGATGATGGATACGGTTTTGGTCATTTAAATTTTGAGTATTTTGTTATTTAAGTGAAATTTTATTTTAAAAAATAAATAAATAAATAAAATTGTTGTTTTTTTTTTGATCCCTGCTTAAATGGTTGTCCTTTCACTTGCCTCCTGACACAGCAAAGTCAAACATCATTTTCTACCAAAGAGCAACACCCTTGCCGCAGGTTGTAAGTCATTCAGTGTCATAGCTCAAGAACACTTCCGTTTGAAGGATCGCCTCCCCGTTCAGTGCACAAACCTACTATTGCTCTGACCAGTTTGCCGTGTTGCTTCGTTGTGTTTATAAATGTGTGCATGTGTGTGAAGGGAAAGTAGGGATTCAAACACACATCTGGCAGCACAGATGTTCTGACAGATAAATCCAAGTGTAGAAGTGTCAACATGCTGCTAACTCCGCACGCTTAATGCCCTGAGTGTGGTTGCACACACAGTAAAAACTCACACCTCTTGTCCTAAACATGTGCAGTTTTATGAGCGTGATATTCCTTGGGAAGAGCCCCACTGATTTAATCATGCACATGTGGTTTTTCTGCTGCAGGCGTAGCCGTCCTAGAGGGGCCCATGTATGCAGTAGGAGGACATGACGGTTGGAGCTACCTCAGTACAGTGGAAAGGTGAGAGGGTACTGCACACCGATGATTTATTCTGTCATTTACTCTGCTCAAAGGCCAGTTCATCCTTAGTACCAAAAATATATTTATTGTCTCACTAACCTTTGTTGGTATCTGGCCCTACAGATGGTTTTGGTTTATTTGATCGCATTTGAGATATTTGCAGCTGAGAATACAAGAATATGACAGTTTCATGACGTTTCATAGGGACTGTTTCTTCTATTTAAGTAGTTCTAATAAAAAAAAAAACTATTTTCCACAGCCATTTTTGTGGATTTTCTACGGTATCGGGGCACAGCTTTAGGAATGAGATATTGCCGCTGAAGAACACAATGATATAAAAATATCAGGCATTCTCTTCTGAGAGGCCGCTATTTGTGTCAGGTGTATCCATGTGGTGACGCAGCTTTAGCACGACTGAGAAGTTGTTTACACTCTGTCTCTCAGATGGGACCCCCAAGCTCGCCAGTGGAGCTTTGTTGCTAGCATGGCTACACCCAGAAGCACAGTGGGAGTAGCTGTTCTCAATGGCAAGTAAGTGATCTCACAAATCCACTTGTATATTGCTTTACCCATTCAGTTGGGTCTAGGTTAGAGATTCATTTTTAGCACATGCACTATAGCGCAGGACACACCCTTACTTATTCTTTGTTATGGAGGGATGCACTTTAATTTTTTATAACACCTTGCTCTTGTTCTTGGCTGCTGAATGCATTTATCATGAGTCACTTTGAACACAAGCGTCTTCCTACTCAGTGTTATACACGCATTACAGACTATTTGTACATCAACTAGGAATAAAGTGAAACTGTACACATATAGATACTGCACCACCCCGCATGCTGCTTATTATAGTAAATACACACTTTATGTCATAAAAAGTAGCCATTTAACAAGCAAGATCCAGTGCTTATTGTTTGGAAAGAGGGAATTTAGAGCATTTGACTGGCTTGAGACCAAACTATTTTGGTCCTGCATCTATGCAACTGCTATGGCAGTTTATTTTTAGAGGGGGTAAAAAAACATGAATTTATTCACTTCAGAATTGTGAGAAAATAACTTTAAGCTCTCTGCTTGTTTAGGAAATTTAGCCTAACAGAGTTGAGGTTAAGTTACTGTCACTGCTGTACAAAATAGCACCCTTCCTGTACAGACCCACCGATATATCAAACATTAATGGAAAAGTTGCGGTTTCACACACACACACACACACACACACACACACGTAGACATTTTAATGGCAGGATTTGATAAATTCAGGCCTTGGATCTCCTCACTTGCCCCAGAATTATCTAGGAAATTATTAGAATCAAAATATTGCACCGTTTTTATTATTCAGTGCCTCAGAGAGACGTTACAGCAAAAGGCCTTATAGATGCTAATTAAAACCGAGACAACGGATGTGCTAACTATGCCCAACAGTAGTGTGTGTGTGCGTGGCTGTGTGCTTTAGTGAGCAGGGCATGTATGTGTTGTGTATTCTCTGGGCTCTTTGCCTGATGGAGCTCATTACTTGCTTGACTGGTTCTGTTTTACTTTTTTCTTCATTGCCACAACTTCACATCCATGGATGTGTGTGTTTGCGCATACAAAAACACACACACACACACACATACACACACACTGATACACACTGAGTGACTGCTCAGGGTTGTAATGCCTCAGGAGTGTTGGTTGATTGATTTTTCTCACCTCATTTTGCCCCCAAAATCCTGCACAACATACACGCACACATACACGCAGACCTTGTACCATCTGTTTCAGTGTCACCAAATTGAAAAGGGACTTCCAGAGCTCAGAAATGTGAGCAGTGTTTTGTGTGTCCAGAAGGATAACACAATCTTCTGTCTTCCTCAGACTGTATGCAGTAGGAGGTCGTGATGGCTCATCCTGCCTGCGCTCAGTGGAGTGTTTCGACCCCCACACCAACAGGTCAGAGACAGGGGACTTCATTTGGCAAGAATTAATTGCTGTCTCCTGCTTTATTTCCTGTTTGCTGTTTCCTCCAGTGCAGTGCCTCTGCTTTTAAGGTTATCTACCCACAGATCAAAAGAGACCGCTAACCCTCTCAGGATGCTAGAACAGACCATAGTCAAACAACTCCTGTTTATCAAGTAGACTCATTAAGGACTCCTGGAAAAGCAGAGAGGAGACTCTAGTTCAGGGCATATAATCTTCTTTTTTTTTAAAAAGAGAGAGAATATTATGAGTTTGCTCATTCAACATTCTGCTTTTTTCTCCTCTTTTTCTTTCTGATGGTTGCAATTTCCATTTTCAGGTGGAATGGTTGTGCTCCGATGGCTAAAAGGCGTGGAGGTGTGGGTGTGGCCACATGGCATGGCTTCCTTTACGCCATCGGCGGTCACGATGCTCCAGCCTCATCCCTGTCGTCTCGGTTAAGTGACTGTGTGGAAAGGTGAGACAACATTTATGTACATGTATTAGATGTGGCAGATGAATTTTACATACAGCTATTTGAAGTATAATACGAGGTGCTCTGTGATTTATAAATTTACCGAGGTACTTCTGCTGTGTTTTTCATGAAATTAGTAATGTAACATATCTTTCGTGTAAGGGCTGTATGTAAAATCATGCAATTTTAAAACACATCTGTTTAATTATAATATGTATACATGTACGCTCAGTTGAGCGAGTGAGGATAGACTAAATATTGCAACTGCAAGCTTAATTCTCCAACCATACAGTTGAATTACCCCCTCTGTAAAACTGGTTCAACAAAAACTGAACATGACAACTTTCGTTGTAACACAGCTCTATTAGACTGCATTCATTTTTAGCAAGGTGTACCTAATAAACTGGCAACTGAGTACAATATGTTGATATTACTACTGGAGGGCATCAAAGTCACATAGCAGTTCAGTCTTTTGGACAGTATGCTTACTCAATTTCTTGCCAGGAGTCAGATAAAAAGACATGACTGTCTGTGTGTGAAGTATAGAACTGGACTTGTTTAGCTTAGCTCAGCCTGAAGACGTGCTGGGGGAAACTGTTTCCTGACTCTGCCCAAAGTTAAAAAAAAAATATGCCTACCATCACTCCAAAAGCCCATTAAATAATACATTGTGTTTTTATTTACTAGTACACAAACAGAAGGCAGTTTGTGGTTTTACTGGGAGTTGTGCAACTGTTTCCTGACACGTTTATTTATCTGCCCAGTCCTTTTGAGCCAGATATGACTGGGGAGCACAGGTTTTGATAGAGATCTCTGTACAAGAGCGATGTAACCATGATTGGAAATCTCAGAGTGATGACAACATTCTGGGAAGTAGCTGCCTGACTGTTGTCTGCCAAGGAATGGTCACAGCATGTAACTCCTACTGAAATGTCCTCATTTTTTAAATAGATCTCTATTTGTGGATTAAACAAGCAGCACAGACATGTTGATCAGTGAGCTTTATAGGTGCAGGGAGTCGATTTTAAACAGACAGTTTAGCTGCTTCCAGTATTTATACTAAGCTAAGCACCTCCTGGCTTCAGCTCTAAATATAATACCCAGATGTGATTGATCTTTAGCGAGTAAGTGTATTTTACAAAATGTCAAGCTATAGGTGATAGTTTGGAATAAAATAAACAGACTTAGTTTCAATTAATTACCTTCTGTGGTATGTAAACTCATGTAAATGTGTGTGTGTGTGTGTGTGTGTGTGTGTGTGTGTGTGTGTGCAGGTATGACCCTCAGACAGATGTGTGGACAGCTGTCGCTCCCATGAGCATCAGCAGAGATGCTGTTGGTGTTTGTCTCCTTGGCGACCGGCTCTACGCTGTGGGTGGATATGACGGGCAGGTGTATCTCAACACTGTGGAAGCTTATGACCCTCAGACAAATGAGTGGACACAGGTACTGCACACAGACACACACTGGAAAGAGTGCAAACCGCTTAAAAAAATCTATTTTCTTCTAGTGCACATATGCATCTGCTCATTTGTGCGCCGACACGATGTAGTTCAGCAAAAAAACAAGTAGTGAATCTTAATGTACACCTGTAAAGTTGTTACATAAACACACAGTCACAGTTTGACCTTCTTCTGGCTCCTTTCCTATGTATCTTGCCTTGTTTTTATTGTTATGCAAATGCATGTTTTGCTCATGCTAATATTGCCCTTGCTGCTGCAGCAGTAGGAGGTAGAGGGGACTGTTTCAAAGTTGAACGATCTCATTGAGCAGCTTTCTGGAGTGTTTATCGCACCTCAGTTTATATCCCATCTCCTGCATAGCCTCAGAGGATTTCCAAACAAAGTTGCGTAAAATGTACGATTTTAGAGACGCATGCACCATGCTGAGAACAGGAGAGGTGCAGGTGGGCAGATACAGAATACAGGCAAGTGTTCAAACTGGCACAGAGGGTTGTGAGCTAGCTGAGATGAGAAGGGACATGGTGAGACCATTAAATGTGTCCTGAAACAATGTCAGAAACTGGTAAGAAATAAACCAGTGTGTATATTGTCCTTCCTGTTCTAGTAGGCTAGTGTCCTGTTCTTCTCCTGCTTGCTTTAACACAAATCTGTCAATCTTGGTACATCCAAAACAGATAGCATGGGTGGTAAGTTTATGCTTCAAATGTGGCACAGTTTGGACTATCTATGTAGTGGCTAGAAGAAGAAATAGGACAAACAGAAACTGGAGACACATAGCTTTCTTTTGTTTTGGGGGCACTGGTATCCATTGGTTGGATTCATAAAGTTTTGAACTGAATAAGATTGCTTGTAATCAACTAGTAATTTAGGCATACATGCTCAAAACCTGTAAATTGGTTTAAGCTTGAGTTTGCCGCTATACTCACAATACAATCTTTAACATGTGTCCAGTGCAGCCTGTTAGCCATGGCAGTGTACTGTAGCTGTCAGTGTTCTGCTGCACCGTTCACCTGAACACTATGCTGTCACTTGCTGCTATTCTTAACCCACCTCCACCCGAGCATGCACCTGTCTGGTTGTAAATGTGTGTTCCCCAAGAGATGCAGACTTATTATCATCACTCTCTACTCCCTGCTGGGCTAAGCTCAGGGTTTTAATGTGAGACGTGTCAGTCGTGATGTCAGAAATTACCTCTGAATGTACCTTGCATTCACATAATAATCCGTTCCCTTCAGTCGACTAAGTTTCAAAGTTCAGTCTTGACTTTAAATCAGTTGACAAAGCAAAATCACGTATATTATGTAGTTTTTGTGGAGCTTTAAATTATATCACACAATCAAGTATGTTAGAGGTCATAGTAATGTAGTGTCTATGTTTGAATAAGAAGTCGTCAAAATCCTTTTCTTTACCTGACAAGCATCAACGTGGCAGATTTAGATTCTCAGCAGAGGCAACTTTAGTCTTGATAGCTTTATTTATTTAACCCTGCAAGAATTTCCAAAGTAATTTCACTGTTTTATGTGCATTAGTGTAGCAATATAATCCTAAAACAGCGACTGATTAAGGCGCTAAAGCCTTGCACTTGTTGACCTTATAAGATCTGCAGTAAGTCTACTTGCCGCTTTGAATTATGTTTTAATATTTCTTCTTTACTTGCTCTCAGACGGTTTAACAACCCCAGGGCTACAATGGAAAGAATATAAGTCTGAAATTATCCTACATACCATAATAACAGACTCCATCTGAGTAACACTTTTAATGGAATATACAATTGTAATTACTCAGATCGATGCTTTAAAAGTGGGGCTGTGATATTTATAAGATTTTTTTTGCCATCATTCCTTCCTGGCTTTGGCTGCAGCAGCTATATTGTATTTAGCCTGGATTATATTTTGAAATGCTTCATATTGGTTTAAGCTTATAGTTTGTTCTTTTTGCGAGAATTATGCAGCTCTAGACATGTTTGCAAGTGGTCATCTGAAACCAATGCTGAACCTCTTTCTGGGAACTCACTCATGGCTAAATTCAGAAACTATGGGTTGACCTAACGGGTTAATAACCGGCTTTGAGAAAACACTTGTGTTGATTTTATTGAACTTACTAAAGACAGATAGCAAAATCATATCCTGGGTACATTGAACATGCTTTGCAGTGAAGTCCCCAAAGGATGTGATCTTTTAACTCCAACTGAAAGCCTGAAAATAATGATTTCATGTGATTTATAGTTCTATACAATCCACAGCTGTACCTGTTGTTGACCAGCTGTGACTGTGGTTCTCGTGTTTTCTTTGCAGGTAGCGCCTCTGTGTCTGGGCCGGGCGGGTGCATGTGTGGTGGCCGTCAGACTGTGAAAACAAAAAACGCTAACATTTATTGGCAGATTGTGCTCGATGTGGCTCAGAGACCCCTCCACTTTGTCACCACTGACACTGAAGGGACATTAACGGATCCGTCTGCCTACGCCAGGAAACAAGAGACACTTTTCTGGCCTTTTCAGGTTTTGCTCTTCAGCAATGTTCCGTTTTTCTCTCTAATCACTCAGATTTTAGAGAGAGATTATCATTGAAGTACATGTCAGGTTGCTCTGATAACTTGTGCCACAGAAGTGAACTGCCAGCAATACCCACGATGAAGAGGAATCTGCAGTGTTTATCTGAGCACGACAGAACAGCTGTCTCACAGTCTTTTTCTTTTTTTCTTGCCTATTATTTAGCTTTTGTAGAATAGATGGAGCACACACACACACACACACACACACACATATATATATATAGATCTACATGGCTGATTTGAGCTTCTATTTCTGCTGACAAGAATGTGAGAAAGACAGACAAAGAATGTCAAGACTGCCTCATCATTTTATGCTCTCGGTTTTCCTAACGATATCTGATGGTGTGTACTGATGCTGTTTTAAATATTCCCTATTATTTTTATGCTGCAGTTGGCAAGTGCTCTTCTCCTCTGCTTTCCCACTGTTGCCCACTGACAGATGAAAGGAAGACTTTTGACATAATCAGCACAACCTCATGAACAGCTATTCTGTAAGGAACCGTGAGGCGCTTTATTATTTTCCGTCAGAAACACACCGTGCTTCATCTAATATTTCTGCGTGTCTGTGTGTCTTCCATGTTGCATCAGCTCCCATCTGAAGCTTCTGTGTACCATGTTATGCAATTTATTGTCACTTTTTTCATTTTATCTTTTTTACACCAGCATTATCCAATTTCTTGCTTTTTTGTTTGTGTAGTTCCGCATTCTTTTTTTTCTTTTTTTTACACAATTGCAATCCATTATGCAGTGTTATTGGACTTACAGCCTGAGTAGTAATAATAATAATGATAATACCAATAATGTGGAGCCCTGCAGGGAAATTTTGCTCACAATTTCCTCCAGAGCACAAGGTCAGCTATTTACAGGCTCAGTTGTACACAGGGTCAGTTAAGATAAGATAAGATAAGATATGCCTTTATTAATCTCACGGTGGAGAAATTCACATCATTGACAGCAGCTTTCAACAGACGTACACAGATACGACACAGGAAAAAACAAAAAATAAAAAATGTACATATAAATATCAGAATATCAGAAATAGTGCAATGCTTTTTTTGTCTACCTGATAACTTATTTTTCTCCACTGTAGATGTTTCTTCATTGTCTGTGTGTGCGCGCGCGCGTGTGTGTGTTTGTGTGTGTGTGTGTACATGCGTTTGTGTTCTGAGATTGGAAGGAGTATATTTTTATCTCAAAAGAGAATCCTCCCCTCCCTCCCTTCCCCTCTCCACATCTTCAATTCCCTGCTGCTTTTTCTTCATCCCCATTTTCCCATTTCATCACTGCACAAACACACACACACACACGCAGATGCATGTGCCACTTCATTTTGAGAGCAGCATCGGATACCCAGACAAAAAAAAAGATATGAACAACACATCATATAATGAGACCATGAATTTAATAACGTTGATTCAGCCGGTGCCGACGTTTTGTTTGATGTGGAGTTCAAAGCGTTATTAGATTCGATGCTGCTGTAGACAAAGTACCAGACATGAGGGGAAATCTGTGAGACTAACTCGTGTGTTCATGTTTTGTGAGCTTGTTTAAGTAAATTTACATGACAAGAAAACCTCAAGAATACAAAGATTCAGACTGCAGATTCAGCACTGACACGTGACACAGTAATTTCATGCTGCATCCTTAATTGCGTATTTCCTGTTGGTTTGGATCTACTCCTCGTGTGTGTGCGTGCATGTGTGTTTACGTCTAGTGTAAGTAAAGGAAACTCCTGACAGTCAGAGGCAAAGCAGGCGAACTGACAGATCTAGAGCTAATGTAGCCCCCAGGATGCACTTTACAAACTCGCACGGACATATTACATGCACACACATAAATTTGTACAAAGACACACTTAACCACACAGCTGAAAGCCAAGCACCACAGGAGCCACTGAAGATTGAAAAGCCGCTGAAAATTTTCCGGCATGACATCTAAAAAGCAAAAGACGGGCAGGCTATCAATTCCCCACAGCTGAGCTGATATTTATTCAAGCCTAATGCACTGCTGCATTATTCTATTTTCTTCCGCTTCAAACCTGCCTGCTGTTTATTTAGAGTCATTCTCTTTAGGTCGCAACAGAAGAAGTGTGTCACCTCCACTGTGTAGAGTAGCTTGATTTCAGTCAGAGGTTAAACAAAAAAGACTGACATTCCAAATCAAACTATATATTTAGTGTATATTATGTACATAAATAAATATAAAATCTAGTCTTATTGCAGTATGCTGTATATTCTACAATTCCAAGTCAGTATACCATGTGTTATTGTGTGCTTCTTTTTGTATCATGAATTCAGATGATGAAGAGGTGTAATAAAGACTGTCGGCAAGAAATGGCACTGCTGCACATCTCCTCTTTTTGTACCGAATGTTACACCTCATCTTTTACAGGATAAATTATGTATGTACTATATATGCTGCTGTAATATGCTACCATTGGTCTTTTATACATTAAAGTCAACATGTGATTTAACACTTGTTTCTGTTTTAGTTTTTTCTTGTGCAAAAGTCTAATATAGAACAGTTTTAGCAGTAGCAGCAGCTCATCACATTTATGGTGCAGATGTTTTTGCCAGGAGTTTGCATTTGTCACAATCACTAAAAATGCCATTATGGTGTAAATTTGTTTATATGTGCCTCTTATCTCTGACAGCACTCCCCCAGTCACTCTTGCGACGGCTTTCGTAATTCAAAGGCTTCTGTGCAGGTTTTGGCTGCTGAAGTGTGGCTGTGAATTAATTTTCGGTGCCTGGAGGTTAATATGAATCCTCGTTACTCTTAAGTGCAGATCCTCTAACTTAAAAGCTGCAGCTAGAGCCAAAAACACAGCAGCAGGTTAAAACGTTCGCTGAGTGAAACAAGTGTGTGAGGAAGAGGAATGTTCACAATTTACAGATTCTTTAACCCCAGGACAGCGACCAGTAACCAACTGATTCATTCTGTTATTTATTGCAGGGGAGACGCTTTAAATCATAAGCAGTTCTGACAAATGGCTACCGTTGGCGCTGAGAAATGATGCCAGTGACCTTGTCTTGCCGCCTTAACAGGACCTGAGTCTATTACACCTGACAGGAACAAGAGGGACACGGAAAGCGCTGGACTGTCTGACCCCACATGTTCAACATCTAGATGTAGGAATAGACTGAAAACAGCTCAGAAATGCAGCTGTGCATTTTGCCGCACGCTGCACATCTGTATTTACCAGGCAGCTAAATTAATCAGTCATTACAAACGTACTCTGTGCAACAAAACTGTTGAGATCCACATATTTATTTCCTGTTCTAATGAAGCTCCTAAAGTTTCCAAAGATACCGAAACTGTCAGCATCAGTGTGTATAAAATGATGCACAAAAAGATTTAGATTGAGCACCTCAGCCATAAAGAAACTGGAGTTTCAGGTTTTATGTCACCCTGTAAAAACATAACATGGCTCCAATGAAGAGCTGGAATAAACCCAAACAGAATATATATGTGAAGGTGTCAAAAAATGTGAATTAAGATCAGATTTTCAGAGCTATTCAAGGGGAAATAAAAAGGAAAAGATGTGTTTGTAATCATTGATAGTGTTTTCACAGTGTAGACACAGTTTGTGCTTAGTTAGTCATCTAAGTTCTAAATTTTAATTACAACTTTTGAGAAAGAAAATGTATGATTACACTGTTTGTATTAGCAATATTAATGTAGAGACTGAGAGGTCAATGGAGACCCTAATTAACAAAACAGTTTTATAATAAGATTTATTTAGTTGCTTTTATGTCATGTCACACAATCTGGAGCTGAAATTGGAACACTTACAAATCTGTGACAAGTGGGGAAACTCCATCAGATGAAGATTGTGTGATATAATCAAACAGTCTAGAACATACTACACTGACTGTGGTGATGTTGTTCAGCCAAGTAGTATTAATACAGATACAGTCAATAGTATATACAGGTGCAAAATGACTGAGATGCATCCCCCTTGTGTCGGTTGGTGCTGTGGGGAACAGGCAGTGGATTCCACTGGGCCATCCTCCCTGTTTAAAAATAATGAATCACCATTACTGGTCACAATGATGGTCACTACACATCTGTGCAGCTAAAATTCATAATGTTTATGCACACATAACCAACACAATCAGGCCAACTTCTCCCTGTATATGAGGATATTTTGTGGGTTGATCTTGCTCTGTTTTCTGGTTGTGCAGTCTTGATGATAATTTCCTACACGCTTTGACACTAATCCCCAATTTTAACATTGTATGCAGCATTACAGATGAACAACAGCATCTAAATAATGTATTGATGCCTACATTTTTTCTTTCTAGCTTGTGAAATCCTGATGATTCACTGTATCCTGAAATATGAGACTGTCCTGTAGCGATAGCTTGAAGTCCACTATGAATCAACCAGCCACTTCAGAATTTTTCAGGAATTATTATGTGCTGCAGGACTGCAATCATCTACAGAATCTAGTCCTGCAATAATATATACAGATCCCCTGCAGGACAGTAAATCCCCCAGTAGGACATTGAAAATGGCCCACAGGATTGACAAACACCTTGAGGATCTGCTCCTACAGAGAATAAAGATGTCCTGCATGTGTGAAGAAAATCACTCTGTTTCTCCCAATTCAAAATGTATGTCAGGACGATTTGCAACACCTGCAGAACATCTGCATAATTCCTCCAGGACAGAATCATGTTCCAGGGGGAGAATAAAGATCAAGGAGTAGATATATAAATTGCAAAGCTCTGTCAGAACCTAATTTTCCTCTGCAGCTGCATAAACTGGAGGTTAGTTTACTGGTGACAGTTGAAATTGTGTACAGAAAGCAATCACTTTTCATGATTCAAAACAGGATTCAAAGATAAGTGTGTGGAACTTATTTCATGTCTTTCTTGATATTAAAAAGTGTGACACTTCATTTAAAAAAATGTACCACAGACTGCAAAAACAAAAGCTCTGCCACTGTTGGTTTTATTGTCTCGCTGGCAAAAACACTCCACAACATTCATTTTTCATCAAGTGTTTTTTTTCCATCTCTCTGCTCTAATTTTACCATTTTGCTTGAAAATCATATAGCCGCTCCCTTCAGTGCATCTTAATGAGATCTGAGTCAGCAGGGTGTATTCTGCTTCAGCGTGCCAGAGCACAGGGAGGAATATTTGTGTCACACAGCTGGCGTTTCATCCCAGCTCCCTGCTTGGTACAGGAAAAAATAAGCAGTCATCTTTCCATCAATGTATATGGAACTACAGACGGTGCCTTGTCATCACAGTGTTTCCCTTCTGGCTTTGGTCGATAATGAAATGACAGAGAGGCAGCAGATGTTGACCTTGATTTATTTCAGATGAGCAGAAGGATTCTACTGTCAGCAGGCTCGGTGCTGAGCTACAAAAGCTGAAGGTGGTGTTTCCTTTCTGTCAAAGAGAGTCACTGAGCAATTACAGGACAACAAAAAAACAAGACTGGGCAGAGCAGATGTTATAGAGGCAAGGACAGTGGAGCAAAATACTGTGCAAAGCTGCCGCCTACTGGATCTGTGGTGACGGCACAGAAATAGTACACCACTTTACCAACATACTGATGGTCATAGATACACACACTAAAACAGCAAGAAATTCTACATTGATTTTTTTTTTTTAAAGCACAATATCTACTTCCTTATATCGACTTCAATCTGCGAGAAACACAATGACTTTTTTTTTTTTAAATTTACTGTTGTAAATTTTAACACTAGAGAATTGCACCCATGATGAACACAAACATGTTTTCGTGGACCTCTTTGGCAGGACATGATATGAATTATTGCTATGTTGCCTGCACAATATAAAAACTGTCAAAAAGTACATTAACATCAGTCAATCACATCACCAAGTTCACCATAAAGTTGTGAGTCTGCTGCTATAGTTTTCATTCTACAAATCTCAGTTAATCATATCAAATCAAGTTTATTGTTATTTTGCTGTACATACACAGTAGTACAGGCAAGGTGAGAGAGTGTTTCTTCAGGATCCAATGACTTCAAGCAATTTAAATAGAGAAGTGTTTGCATGTCTGGAGCAGCAGTTCAGCATTTTGACTATCCTCCTATCCCCTCAGCGTTCTTCTGTCTGACATACTGCAGCTGGAGTACCATGTTGAGATGCAGTATGTCAGAATGCTCTCCACCA